CTTCTTTTTTTAAATAAGACGGTTTTGTGTAATACTTTTGGCAAGAGGCATATTCAACTCTCCTAGAGAGTTAAGGCCTAGATGATCTTTCCCCTTTTCATAGATTTTTAAGGAGGAAAAAAATAGTAAAAAAAAAGAAAGAAAAAAACAGTAATAAAATGAGACTTTTTAACAAGGCACCCGTTTGTAGAATAAGGAATTTTTCACAATTATTGAGTAGATTTGAGAGATGACAGGGATTTACAGCTGTGGAATATCAATTAAAATATAATTTTATCATTCTTAGGTAAATGTGTACTTGGGATAAATGTCAGAATTAAATAAGAGTTTAAGAATACGAGTTTGAAATGGAGCTCAAAAGAAAATATTAAACTTTTCTTTGAGCAGGTGTTATTTATTTTAAAATGAATACATGTATCTATTACAAACATTTGAGTTGGCCTAGCCCTTCTAAATGTATGTGTTTTGATTCTTGGAAACCTGTGTCTTTCAAATTCGTAAAACGTAGTCTAAAGAAAATAATGGCATTTCCTAATTGGTTAGATACATTTTTCATTTTCCCCAAATTTACCTCTTGTTCAGTTCTTGTCCACTTCTTGAATTTGGTTTAGTCTTCAGAATGTCTCCAGTCTTGTTTTGTTTTTGTTGTTGTTGTTTGTTTTTTTAATTTCTAAATTCCTCTGATATAAAAGATAGAGCATGAAAAGTAAGAGGCATACTTCTGTTAGCCCAGGTGATGGGAGTTTACTGGAAGAAAACATGGGTAGTCAGAAATTACTGGGAACCTTCCCAACGGCCCCCATGTCATTCTCATTTCCCCTCCATCTCCTGGCATGGGATTTGCCAAGTGGCCTCTGAGGAAATTGAAACAGTGGCTCATCACTGTACCACCTGAAGGAACAGCCACAGGCTCGGATCCTCTTTCCCTCTCAGGAGTGGTCATCTTCACATTGCTTTTGTCAGGAGTGTGCACCAGGGCCTGATCCAGTCAGTGTTCCACAGCACATGGACATACAGCAGACAGCATCCCTTAGAATCCCACCAATTGTCTAGCATGGATACAGATCCTCAAGACACACACTTAAGAGCACTAGCCTTCCTGCATGCAATCATGGGAAGCCCTGAAATTCCAAGCAAATCTTGGGATTTTAGTGAACCACATGTGTTAACCAGAAAATGAATGAATTGAAGTGAAAGCTCAAACAATTGCACCTGATTTTGGCTGTGTATTTTCATGATCTTCTTCATATGACTCCATATAGCAACCTCAGTGACTTCACAACTCAGAACTGCCCACAAACAGCGATACCGAGTCCATTCTTACCTGGAACTATATTTATAGGAAAACTTGTTTATTTGTTGATCATTGAAAATAATTTTAATTTACCAAGCATAACAATTTAATCACATACTTTGTGACAAAATATTTTTGAAGTTTGTAAATATGTATTGAGTCCCTCCTATGTCAAAAACACTTTGATTGGCACTACAGGGGTACAAAGGTACCTACACAGGGGTTCATTTGTTCCAAAGATCTTTAGTAAGCCATACACTGCCTTGGGCTAGGTACCTGAAATATGATGTCAAATGATAAGTAAACAGAGATTTTCCTTGAAGGACTTTATTATTAGTACAGTTGAGGAGAAAGACATGCAAATAGAAAATTACAAAATAAGAGCATGGAAAAAGGGCACTGTAAATTACAAAGCCTTGGGTAGTCAGGGAAGCCTTTCTCAAGGCAGAGCCATGGAAACTGGGGCCAAATAATGAGTAGGAATTTGCCAAATAAAGCATGTTGTTGGAGGCTGAAGTGTTGATTCCAAGTAGAGGATAATTCACATGCAACTAAGAAAGAACAGGTTGCAAGTACCTGTCATATTTGGCTAGGATGTCCTGTTCTGCAGACTGGTTTCCTGGAGAGGGTCCATGCTGTGTGCATGCTAGAGTTTGGGCTTTATTCCATGGGTTCCCATTTTCCTGGTTCCCTTTCTACCTCACTTGATCTTTCAGACTTTCTTGCCTCTAAGTCACCAGTCAATATTGGTATTTCTCAGGGTTCAGTTTAGATTCTGTTTTTCCTTTGTTCTTCCTCTTCTCCCTCGCCAGATGCATCCATGTCTATGTATTTGTTTACTACTTAAAAGCTCGATGGTTCTTAAGTCAGTTCTGAACTTAGGACCGTACATCCCTATCACCGCCATCCTACCTACCACTTCAGTTTCCTTAGGACCAGGCTCCCTGTTTGCTGCAACTGCCTTCCCTGACTCCTCTCAATCTTAGAACCTGCCAAATTCCTTCTTTACCAGTGCACCCAGGGACTTCTGTTCCCTTAGCCTGAAGTGCGTTCACCTTCCCTTTGCCTAGCTATTGCCCACTCTTACTTCAGGTCTTGGCTTAAATATCGCTTTTTCACGGATATCTTCCAGGTCTCTCCTAACCTCATTTTATGATTAGTAATATGCTGCATTTTTATGCCCCAGTTTATAATTATTTTTTTAAAATACTGCTTTCCTCACTAGACTTTAAGCTCTCTGAAGGAAACAACAGTCTCTGTCTGTGTCAGCCTTGTTTTAAAACACTTAGCAAAGGATATGTACCTTGTAAGAGGTCTCCGTAAGTAAACACGATGAGCTATGTGAGTTAGGACAACGAGGAGCCATTGAAGAACTTTAGTAGCAGAATGACCTGATTGGATTGGCAATTAGCAAGTTTATTCTGCTAGCAGTATGAAGACTGAATTGGAGGGGGTCCATGGCTAGAGCAAGAGAGATAAGTAGGTGGATGTGGCCACCAGACATTTAGAGCCTCAGAGCACATCTATGATAAAAACACAAAGAAATCAAATTCAGTTGATCCAGGAGCTCAGAGATAGTCTCAGGACTCTTTCCATCTCTTAGCATGGCTCATTCCATGTGGACCTCATTTTCCCACAGTCTTTCTCTTTGTGAACAGTAACAGCTTCATCCTACATCTGTCTAGTAGGAAAGAGGGTCCACTTTATGGTTATGTGAACAGATATCCAGACTGCCTTTCTGACTGGTTCTGATTAGGTCATGTGCCCTTCTCTGAAATAACTACTGTCAGCAGAGGGGTTCTGGGTGCTGGTTGACCGGTCTGGATAATAACTATCGGATCTGAGGCAGTGGTGCACTGGCAAACTGGCCCTAAAAATAATGTTTTTTTAAAAAGGCCTATTTGTAGCGATTACCAATTTCTTTGGTATCCAAGCTCCTACTGTGGCTGATTTCAAGATGGATGCCTGGCTTGCGGTTCCTGAATGTTTAACAACTGGCTCTTCCAAGCCAGTCCCCACAGCTCCAGCTCTCCGTGGCTGAGCTGACGGCAGAGCTGCCAGAATCAGAAAGACTGACGGCGAGGGAGGCAGTGTGCTCTAAAAGGCGATCAGAATATTGTTAGAAGATAGGTAGGTGCCTGGTAGCCAGTCCCACAAGGAAACTTGCCCTGTACCATGCAAAGTATACTTTGTTATATGTCATGATTTTATTTTACCTAAGAATTTTTGAAAGTTCCTGTATCATTTCCTTGAATAACATTTGTAAGCACCATATAATATTCCATTCTAGGAAAATGCTATCATTTACCATTCTTTCATTGTTGAGTATTTAGATTGATAGAACTATATGTAGTGCCTGCTGGATAGGTCTATGCCTGAAGCCATTTTCCACATTTAGGACGGAGTTGAGATAATTTACACTATGTGGAATCACTGAGTCAAAGGAATAGACATTTAATGCTTTTGAATACATTCCAGTAGGTGTACAAAATAGTTTTACCAATTTATATCACTTCTATCACTGTAAGAGAGAAGAGCAAGTATTTCATCACACTGTTATTAAGTGTAATTAAAAAAAATTAGGATAGAATTAATACGTCATTTTAATTTGCATTTGTTTCAATTACTAAAAATGTTGAAATGTCTATATTTTTGTTACAAGTGTATTTCTTATAGTGAATTTTCTTACCATTTCCCACTTGTGTTATGCGTATATGTTGCTTTTATTATACTATTATCATAGGTATTTATCTTCTTATAATTAATTAATATAATTAGTGGAATAATTATATGATTAATAGTGGAAATTCTAGCACATAGCACAACTTGGTAAATGTTGAGGGGAGTGTTGTGTATGAAATTCTCCCTAATTCTGTGTAATTACGGTAACATTAGCTGCCTTAATAGATAAATACAAATTCACAGTATGTAAACACAATAAAAGTTTATTTCTTGCTCATGTCAAAGTTCCATATGGGTGTTCTTATTTGGGCAGCTTTCATGTGGTCATGAAGGGACAAAGGCTCCTTCTGTCCCAAGGCTTTTCTCCCCTCTGGATCCTTGTCGTTTCTATTCAATGGGAGGCTGGCATTAGAGAATGGGGAACAATACGTGGGAGGTTTTTATGGACTAGGCCCGAAAGTGCAATATTGAATGTGCTTACATTCCATTGACTAAAAGTCAATCCCATGGACACAACTAATTGTAAAGGAAAAAAGAAAAAGAATCTGGTATACATCTAACCAGTCTTTGCCAAAATTTCCATAACCTGAAATAAAGAAATCTTTTCATAAAGGCTGATTCTACTTAACTGCTTTTACTACCTGTATATATCTGGGAATAAATTGACCGTATTACTTGGATAATTTACAGGATATAAGTATGGAATGGAACATTTTACATGTTGTTAAGAGATATGTAGCTTTTTAATAGACCGGAATGGTAGAGCAATGACGTTGAATGGTCATTGAATGTCCTCTCATCTAGACACTGAAGAGAAGAGGGTGGAAGTTATCGGACAAAGCGGTTTTGACAGGTGATAAACAAGTCTTAGATAGGCAACATTTATTCAGTGTTTTAGAAAATTTAATGCATAAGAATCCATATAAAGACTTTGTAATCAGCGCAACCAGTAAGTTTGATGACTTACTAGAATGATATTTTTAATAGGATATGTTAGCTCATTTTCTTATTTCTACCTATACAGGTAATTAAAGTGTACAGTGAAGATGAAGCCAGCCGGGCTTTAGAGGTACCCAGTGACATAACTGCCCGAGATGTTTGCCAGCTGTTGATCCTGAAGAATCATTACATCGATGACCACAGCTGGACCCTTTTTGAGCATCTGCCTCACATAGGTCTAGGTAAGGATACAGAACCATAATCCACATCCTTGTTTTTCTGTTTGTTTTAGTTTCATCATATGGCAAAGATTTTCTTCAGACATAGAAAAATAGAAGAGAATTGTGAATAGTCCTTTTCTTTATTTGGTGTTGCTAGTTGGGAGAAGATTGTAACACAAAATGAAAGTAAGGGTAGAAATATTACACATTTCCCACACTTCTTTGTTTAAATAATGCTCTATGAGAATTTGGGAGCCAAAACATAGAGTCCAAATTGATAGATAAATTTTGTAATAATCTTTGGTGGCACAAGCAGCATTTTTTTTGAGAAGTTAATAAAACAAGCTGTTATTTGAATTACTTTTTGAATTGGTTGTCATGCAGACATGGAAAGTATCCACACTGGTTCTCTTTACGGGTGTGTGTACCCTAAAATTTTCTTGAAGAATTAAGTATCTCCTCTATATTTTAAAGTCATAAACATAAAGAGTATTCTTTCAAAACGTTTTTTTTTTTTAAAGATTTTATTTATTCATTTGACAGAGAGAGCGAGAGCAGGAACACAAGCAGGGGGAGTGGGAGAGAGAGAAGCAGGCTCCCTCCAGATGCAGGGCTCTATCCCAGGACCTTGGGACCATGACCTGAGCTGAAGGCAGACGCTTAACAACTGAGCCACCCAGGCGCCCTTCAAAACATATTTTTTAAAATGTATTTTTTAAAAAATGTGTCTCTGTGTTGTAAAATGTAGAGAGTTTCTCCCCCAATTTTTTAAAATAAGGTATAAATGATTTTCGTCCTGCTACTAGAGTGAGACAGAATTTGGCACCAGTTTTCTTTCACCTTTTCTTATTTTTACAGGTATGAGTGTAAAAAAAAAAAAAAAAAAAACATGGTTCCATAATAAGTAGTGAAAAGGAAAGGAGTTTGTGATGGTAATGCCATTCGATTCTTTGGAATTCCATATGCGTTTCCTGTGGCTGCTGTAACAAACGACCACAAACCTGGGGGCTTACAACAACCAAAATTGATTGTCTCACACTTCTGGAGGCCAGAAGCCTGAAATCAGTATCACTTGATTGAAATCAAGGCATTGCCAGGGATGCACTTCCTCCGGAGGCTCCAGGAGAGAGTCTGATCCTTGTCTCTTGCAGCTTCTGGGGCTGCTGACATTCCTTGGCTCCGGCAGACTCACTTCAGTCCCTCCCTCTGTGGTCACACTGGATTTCCCTCTTCTGTCTGTGTCAAGTCACCCTCTGCCTCTCTCTCATAAAAATGGTACCGGTTAGAGCTCACCCGGATAATCCAGGATAATCTCTTCATTTCAAGATCCCTTAATCATATCTGCAGAATCCTTTTCCCTCCCCCCTTCTTATCAAGTAACATTCACAGAAAACCTATTCTTGAAGGTATGCCATTACCCGCCAGTGTGATGTGCCGTCTCGCCTTCCTAGGGCAGAAAATGTTCAACATATATTTTCTGCATTGCTGTTTGTCACTAATTTGACTTCTATTCATGACCATTCATCTCCTAAAAGTATAGTGTTAACTCTCAATAGATAGCTGCCATATTCTAAACTAGTTTTACATATGCTTGTGAGACTACAGCTCTTAATTAGCATAATATGTAATTACAGTATTTTATACCCTTAATCTTTTTCTTTTGGAACAACTTTACATTTTTTTGGTTATAGTCACTATAGTTTATTGCTCACAAATAGCTTGAAGTTTAATAATAAAAATCTACTCTGTAAATCAAGCCCCAGTTTTTACTGAGACCACAGCAAGTTATATTAAGGAATAAAGTGCACAGGTTCTTTTAATGTGGAGGCTTAAAGTGGAACATTGAGAATTAATTTGAGTTACATACTAAATTTAAACTTTTAGGCATCAAATAGAAATATATTTCTCCATTACTGTATTTTCTGGAAATGCTGAAATAAAGTCAAAGATGTGAGATATTGTCTCCTGGCTTCATCAACCATGCATTTAGACCAAAAGTTATGAGAAGGAAATTGAGTTCCACAGCTTCCTTGTGTTCTTTTTCTTTCCTTTTGTTTTCACCCAGATTATATCTCTTTTTAAAGAGATTTTATTTATTTGAGTGAGACAGCATGAGCCTGTGCACACGTGAGCGGGGGAAGGGCAAAGGGGGAGGGGGGGACAAGCAGACCGCACTGAGCATGGAGCCGCTGTGGGGTTCAGTCCCGGGGCCGCCTAATGGACTGAGCCACCCAGGCGCCCCTCAGATGATATCTTTAAACAGTAGAAAAATTGCTGACATAGTGCTCTCCAAATACTAATGCATATTAGATTTACCAGCTTCCATTTCTTTTATTTATTTATTAGCTGCTTTATTTCTGTAAGGATACACTGAAATGTTAGATGATGATAGCTAATGAATATCTCTATTTTCCTTACTTATTTTCATTTAATTTCTCTGTTTTAACATAACCTGTTTTTACTTTTGTAGACTACCTTCTTTGTGTGTGTGTGCACCTAAAAATACATCTTGAGGGTTTTTTTTCTTTTCACTTTATAGATTCCACAAAAACTAGGAACTCTTCCTGCCTTTTCCTGTTGACTTCCTTACACAGTTTAGCAGATATTTACTGACTGTTTTATACCAAGCCTATTTTGTGTGTGGATCTTGGGGGTACATAATAGACATGATAATAGACAAAAAACACTGCCCTTGCAAGTTTGCATACTTCTCGGAAGAGAAAGATATGAGACACATGACTAAAATCTGTAATCCCTTAGGTGATGATAAGTACGGGTTTCTCCTGCTGTCTGAAAGTAGAGCACTCCTATGAAAACCTTCGTAAACTGAAATGGTATAAAGCAAAGAGGCATTTACCATTAATTTATATGGGAAAATATTTGAGCAGAAATAACCTCTCTTAGCATTTTCGGGTATCTTAGGACACATCTTGCCAATAGATGCACAAAATAAATCAAGATAAAGCACAGATGCTCACAGACAAAATTCAAAGCTGCAGGGGCTTGATGCTTGAGAAGCTGAGTGTGGTTCCCTGGAAGGAGCTTGGCGGGACCACTCTCGCTGCGTCTCCGTGGTGCACATGGCCTTTATAAGGGCTCACTGCAAAGCAAACGCTGAATGGCATTTTCACTTTTCACCTTTTTTGTAAAAACAGAAATCCTCTTTGGATTTCTTTTTTCTTTTTTTTTTTTTAAAGATTTTATTTGTTTTAGAGAGCATGAGAGTGAGATTGAGAGAACGAATGGGGGGGAGAGACAGAGGGAGAAGCAGACTCCCCACTGAGTAGGGAGCCTGATGCGGGACTCAATCCCAGGACCCTGGGATCATGACCTGAGCTGAAGGCAGCCGTTTAACCCACTGAGCCACACAGCCCCCCCTTCCCCTTTGGATTTCTGTTGGTTGGCAAAAACAGATACTAATGTAGGTCTTTTGTAAAAGCAAAGAGGTGTAATGTGAACTTTTGAAAAGCTGGAGTTGCCTGTATTGGGGAGAAAAGGAAGGCAGGGCAGAAGAAGGAAAGAGCATGCTAGGGGTGAGTGAGAGATGCATTTCAACTAGAGGGATCAGGGAAGGTGTCCCTGAAGCATGATATGGAGGAAAATCTTTGTGGCAGCGTGCTTGTGTTCAGGCCACAGCCCGAGGCCAGCACTTCTGGAGTAAGGTGGGGGGTGATGGAGTGGACTTCAGTAGGGCTACTGTAGAACCAGCTCGTGTAGGGTCTCAGAGGCCCCAGAGGGTCTTGACTTTTACACTGAGTGAGAGAGAAAGTGAACGGAGTTCTTTGAGTCAGAGAGCAATATGATCCTGATTTAGTTTTGAAAGTACAGTTGACCCTTCAATAACATGGGTTTGAACTCCGTGGATCCACTCGTATGTGTGTTGTTTTTTTTAAATAAATTCCATCCAGTACTATAAATTTATTTTCTCTTCCTTATAATTCTCTTGATACCATTTATTTTCTCTAGCTTACTTTTGTAAGAATATAGTATCTAGTACATGTAACGTCACAATATGTATCAATCGGCTGTGTATGTCATCAGTAAGCCTTCCAGTCGACAGTAGGCTATTTACTAGTAGTTAAGTTTTAGGGGAGTCAAAAGTTTCATACAGAATTTTGGCTGCAAGGGGAGGTCCGCACCCCTATGCTTCACATTGTTCAAGAGTCAACTGTATACTACTCAGAAGGCCAGAATTCAAACTTTTAGAGGCTAAGCAACTTTGTTTTGCTTCTATATCCAACTACCTGTGGCTTCCTGGATCAATCCTGGCCAGTATGTCATTTCTCCTAGTTGCACATGCCCTGTTGGACCATCTTCACAGGATAGTCTACCCTGGTATGAGGTGTGTGGTATTTGTGAGACCCTGAAGCCTTATAGGCGAGATCATTGTGCCTTGTGGGATAGATGAGAGTTAAGTGTTTTCTGCACTTGAGGTCACATTAATGACCAAGATAAGCTTAGGAAGGTGTCAGAGACATTTTATGTTGTTAATAAATGTGCTACCATTGTTGCTTTTGATCCCTTAAAACACGGCACAAATTTCCTAAAGTCAGATGGAGGAGCACTTGACATTCAAAATATGGTAGGTTTATGGAATCGAAAGTCTGTTTTCAGAGTGACATTTTCTGTGGCAAAGGAAACCTCAGTCTTAGTAGTAGTTTTAATATGAATGTATGTGTGATGGCTACTATTAACGTGTATCTTATATGTGCAGGGCACGGAGTGAGAGGTTGAACATTAATCTTGATAGACGCTCTCATCCCTTAGCCTCATAGCAACCCTGCAAGATGTGTTTTCTAATCTCCCTTTGACATACAGGAATACAAAAACTCAGTGATGAAATTCCTTGCCTAGAGTCAAGCATTGCTCAAATGTAGGTCCTTTCAGAGTCTAAAGTCTGCATTTTCCACTGAAGTGAGTTTTTTCTCCTCATGTTCCTGGGATCCCGTAGTTGGTTTGTCTCTTTCTCACTCTCCATCTTTGTCTCTCATCTGTGGTGTGAGAACAAGTTAAAATTTTGA